ATATCGAAGTTGAGCATTTTATAAATGTTCAACTATAAAAAAATTGTTACATTTTGTCAAAATTCAAGTTTTAAATGCTTTTAAAAAAAAAAATTTCAATCTTTCCTACCCAATAAATAAAAGTGTTATTGATATTTTATAGAATAAAAATCGAGTAAGTTTATGTCGCTTTGCTGTACAGTAGGTTACAAGTAGATCAATATATAATGGATTGTATTAAACTTGAATTCAATAATATAATATTATTGGATAAAAAATGATCCTGAGCGGAGAAAGTTTGTTAGTCTGGATGTTTAATATAAATTGTTATTATTTATTATATCCTGTAAGTTGAATTGATATTATAATATTATAATTTTTTATTCGTTTCTATGGTGATTGGTGAAAAAAAAGATTAAGAAATGAAAATTATTTTTTTAGCAGTTATTTGTAATTTGTAGGTGGTTTTTCCCGTGGCATTAAATAATTATTGAGAAAACCCCTCTAAAGTACCATATTAATCCAGTTTTCTAAAAGATAATGTAGGTACTATTGTGTTGAAATCGAATCACTCCTACTGGTAGAAATTTTGTATACAGGATATAAAAAATAAACACTATTGTAAAACCACTAGCTCAGAATCTAAAAACTAAAAAAATTGGAAACTGAAAATGTCAATAAACAGCTCAAAATAAGTCTAAATATTTTAAAAATGTTATTGTGTACTATAGATTATACACGTCGCTAGTTTTCTGGGTGCTTTTGAAAACTACTGAGAATTTTGATGTCTCCAATGTACCAACAATATTCACTTTCCAATTGAACAAGATACTGAAGTTGAAAATCAACGCATTATTTCGAATTCAGAAAGACCAACAAATGGTTAATCAATGTTCAGTCTTTTTTTTTAAAAAAAAAGGGTAAAACTTTTAATTTAAAAAACTAATTTAATTTTTTTTTCAGTATTAATAAATTATATACAAATATATCATATAATATTTTGTAAGATATTTTTTTGAAAGTACTGGGGATGAATGGGAATATACAGTCAGTAAGTCAATTGGTTACATCGTGGTATTGTAAGCCACAGCATAATGGATTTTGTTGTAAAAACAAAAAGGCAAAGAATGATAAAAAAAAAAACTTATTTATATCAGTACGATATTATCAAAAACATTTGATATTCAAATGTGTAGAGTTAATTTTTAGATTTGATTTAATATCTTCATATAGTATCTTATCTTTTAGAAAATTGGATCAAGATGGTACTTTAGATAGGTAATTTCTCGATTTTTTCAATAGTTATTTAATGTCACAGGAAAAACCACCGAAAAATTACGAAAAACCTCTAAAATCGGATTTTAATTTCTAACTCTTTGTTTATCACCATAGAAACGAATAAAAAATAATAATATAAATTCAACTTATATTTAATACTTTAATAATACTTATATTTATTGTTAAATTGGTAATAGTTTTGGCTACCTCAATGCGACATTGTATATACACACCCTTAAGCTAACGACTAATCATTTTTAGGGTTCCGTACGGTAAAACGGAAGAATATTACTAATGCTCCGCTGTCCTTCCGTCCGTCCGTCCGTCTGTCACCAGGCTGTATCTCATGAACCATGAAAGTTAGAAAGTTTAAATTTCCACAGATTATGTAGGTATTTCCGTGGATGATATAATAACAAATACTAAAAATTCTTTTTTTTTTTTTTAGTTGATCGAGGGACGGAGGAGGAACTGTGTTAGCATTACTTCTCCTCAATACTAAAAATCCTAGAATATATAATGAAATCAGTGTTGCCAACATAGCTGATGATGGTATGGAACCCTTCGTGCGTGAGTCGGACTCACACTTGGCCGGTTTTTTTTTCATCATTGGTTTTTACAATTCAAAAAACTTTTTTACCAGAAATGATATTGAAGATTAAAGCAGTTTACCGCTCCAAAGGTATTGAAAGGCATAAAAAAAAATATTAAAACATATTATTCTCTCGTAATATAATATTTAAGAATACGAATCGGATAATCAACAATTACATCGCCACGTACGGTAGTCCAAGTGTGTAGTGTCAGATCACGGAGCCAAGTTCACTAGCAAGGTCTGGCAGAACCTCCTTCGGGAGAAAGGAGTACCTTCAACGCTGACTTCAGTATACCACCCTCAGTCTAACCCAGCTGAACGAGTTATGCGGGAACTCGGGAGGATGTTTCGAACTTACTGTAATCAAGATCATACTGAGTGGCCAAGACACCTTGGATACGTTGAATGGGTACTGAACAACACTGTGCACGAAGCTACAGGGTATACGCCGCAAGAACTGTTTCTCACCCTCGAACGGTACAACCCATTTAGTGCTGTAGTCTCTTTTCCACTCAGGGTCGCACTGTCTCAGCAAACAAAAATGATTCTGGCACGCGAGGTTCAGCAGTCCCATGCTGAGCGACGGCGTTTACGTCATGACCAACAGGGTCGAGTGACAAATTTTGTTATCGGAGATCGTGTATTGGTACGAACACATCGTTTGAGTTCTGAAGTCGATAAGCAAATCCACAAATTATTTTTGCTGTATCGACCATACGTTGTTGTGCGCGTTTCATCACAAAATGCATACACGATAGCCGAAGCAAAAATAAACCGGATTATAGGGACCTATAATATAATACACTTGCGTCGGTACATCACACCAGGACCGGGTCCACTTCAACCGGCTGAAGTAACCGAGGTCGCCCAACGTACACTATCGTCATAGTCAAACACGTCACCCACGTCATGTTCTGTTTTTCAGTGTAGAAGTTCGTTCCCATGGGTACCAACTTCTACAGAGGGGTTTCTGTGACGAGTTGGATGACCATTTGACTATAGTATTTGTACACATAGGCTGTAGTGATACAAATGTTGCGTGTGCGTGCGACAGCCGACTTTGTCCCGTGGGTTCAAGTCCGCCAATCGACGACAACACCTGCCGGTGCGACAACGCACACACGCTCCCCTCTTTCGTCCACGTGGTCTGGGCCACGCCGACTTATTACGTGTTTAGGGATATCGGCCGATTAATTCACGTCTCCATATGCTCTCGCTCTATATATGTCTTCCCACTCCCACTGTCTCTGTCATCTTTTTCGTGCGTTTGTGGCCGAATAAGCCGACGAACGACAATTCTTTTCCCTACGCCGATGCAAGCACAATGCTGGAAGAGTAGTGCACCACGGTCGCCGTAGCACCATCGGACGGCACACATAACAGGAGCATGGTGATTTGTATATTTGTATATTATTACCTATTTATCACCGTGGCCGGTATCCCTACTGTTTATTATTATTATTGCCATATTAGGCTGAATTATTATTATTATTATTATTGCCATATTTGGCTGGTATATGTTATTGTTCCTGTGTGTGTCATTTTTATTTATTTTGTCCGAGTTTTATGCCGGCGGCTTTCTCGGCGCCCACTTTTAAAAATAATATAATGATTTTTTTCACCTACGTAGTGTGTTATGTTGATATTTTATTATTATTGTTAGGATTTCTTCATTCCTGGTCTTACCAAGTAGGTATAAAAAATCCACGGTGCTCCGAACTTTTGTGGTCTCGCCTCGTGGTTGGCCTTACTCGACCACATTACTCTGGTCATGAGTAATATGACTCGAGTTGTCACAAGATTCAATATAAATAAACCACGAGACTAAATATTCTTAATTTAAAATACTTACTTCCTATCTCGACCTAACTCCAAGGTAGCTAAGTCTCTTCTGTTTATTGACATTCATAGAATAAAAAACCTAAAAATGTAAAAACATATATTATATAAGCTTAGAAATATAGATTTATTATATTGAATATGAACTAAATATTCTTAATTTAAAACACTTGTTTCCAATCTCGAAGTAACTCCAAGGTATAGGCTATGTATAAAAAAACGGCTTTAAAAGTTGTGATATCATTTTATAGGAAGCTAAGTCTATGAAATATAGATATAATTTATGTTAAAATAATCTGCTAAAATATTGACGGTAAAATCAATCAAGGTTAAAAAAATGTCTACCAGAAAGTCAGATGAAATTTTATGAGAGTTTGAAGTTCATAATTTTATAATATTGGATATTCAATTGATTTCTAATGTATCGATTTTCTTATTTTTTTTAATTCAAAAACAAATAACTGTAGATACAAATTCAATTTACACCATATTTTAATTTGATCAATTACCATACTTTATACCATTTTCAAAACATTTTTACTTTTTTGAGCCGTTAGAACAAGGCTCCTGACACGTATTTTTATAAGCATTTAAAATTCGACACTTGAAAACATTTATCAAATTTTAAATTTAAAAACGATTTTGTAGTTAAAAATTTTGAAAATATTCAACTTTTATAGCTAAGGATTGAAAATTTACACCAAGGTTTCACGTAATAGTATGTTATTCTGTAACTAAAAAACTCATAAATATAAAAACACAGAGTTTTTTATACTTACTTTATGTTCAAATGTTGAAGAAATTTCATATTAAATAACCAAGAATAACGATTTTAGTTATTTTGATGTAATTTTATAATATTAATTCAACTTGCCGGATACTGTATTAATAATAAGTAATAACAATATAAATATAATATAAATTATTCACACTGTTAAACCGTCACCGCTTAGAATGGTTTTTCATATTCAATGATACTTACCACCTTTTTATATTTTATTCGTAAATTCTATAAAAATGTTGAACTAGTTTAATTATGATCACGTTACTGATGATGTTAAAAAATTTGGAGAGAGCTCTCATCTATGCACCATTCAGTAAAAAGGTAAATATCCAATAAAGATGCAACTAACAATTAATTTTTTGTTATATATTATATTTTAAATGTGTAAAAAAATGTTTTTAAATTTAAGTTAGATAATATGCATATTATGATGATATTACATAAATAGGTATAAAATACATAGATACAATATACGTATTATAAATATATCATTAAACTATAAAAGATTTATTAAATCAAATTATATTAAATATAATATAAATAGTAATTTGGGAAAAAAAACCAAGAAGGATGATGAGGTTTTTCTGTGGTCATGGTTTTTACAGTTGTAGTGGGACGTTTGGTGGTAGTCGTTGTTGATGTCCGACTGGTCGTTGTTGATGGCCAACTGGACGTTGTTGATGGCCAACTGGTTGCTGTTGATGGCTGACTGATCGCTTTTGATGGCTGACTGGTCGTTGCTGATGGGCGACTAGTGGTAGTAGTTGTTGGTGGACGCCTGGAGGTGGTGGTTGTTGATGGATTGGTGACGAAGATTGTTGTCTTTCTTCCTAATAAATAGATGTATAAAGACCCGTCGGGCCAATATCGATATCCCTTGGGGATGTTTGGTTTGTTTTGATCTCGTGCCAAAATTTCCAACAGACCATTGCACTGACTTACATCAAATTGCTCTCCTATTACCGGCTTGCTTATCACCATATGGATTGATCTAACCATATTATAGTCTTGGTCATCCACAGCGTACAACTGTGGGCAGAACGGAAAAAGACAGAGATAGAGAAAAAGAAAATTAATGAACTATAACTAAGATATATATAATATATTAATATAAGTTTACTGAAATCCACCCGCAATCTCCATTTACAAACGTCGATGACGTTCTGTTTTAAACCAGCAGATTTCACAGTAAGATTAAAGGCAATATGATACGAGTGATAATAGTGTGAATACAGAAGCGATGTACAACAATCAGTGATACCGCTGATAACAATAGTAATTTGAATGATATTTTTTTTGTTCAATATTTCTTTTTTAAAACACCAGCAGATAGTTGTTGATTGGTGTTGGTTGTGTATTGGATATTATATTTAGACAGAAGTACGCAAGTCTTTTGCTAAAGAATCATTATTACCGACCACTTAATTTACTGATTACTGGATGAACTTATTAGAGGACTATTCGACTAACAACACATAATACACAAATAGTCGATATTGTGTCCACAAAAGAAATATTGATTTTTTGGTCAAAACACACATTACAGAAGATTCTCTCACTTATCATAGAGTGGTTTGATTTTATGATTATTTTGTTTCAAGGATAACTAATTTCCAAAAAAAAAAAGAAATCGGATAACTTTACGAGGCGTGAGAGTTTTTCCTATTATAAGGCATATTTTTAAGCAAAATAACATTTCACGCGCAGCCCCGATAAAAAAAAATTTGAAATGTTAAATTATAAGACACCTAAATAATAATATATGTACTGATTACTTTCTTTCTCCATGATATATTTAGTCATCTACTAGATTATTGGGGCGATCCAAACTTGCAACGATATAGATCTACTGGTAGGTTCTCTGTTAGAGAAACATATTGACGACTCAATGGTTGGTCCAACGATGAGGTGTATTATTAGAGAACAGTTTGTAAGAACTAATACTGTTACAGGGACATTTGGTCGTCGCGCGGGTTTACGTTTAGTATAGGTAATATATGTATTATGTATAAGTATGTAACTACATACAAAAGCATCTTAATTGTGTGTATACATGTGATATGATTTTATAAATATATATATATATGTGTTGGCATCCTAAATGTGTCAGTGGCAACTGGCAGCGAGAGTATGTTTTTTAACCAGATAGGGCTTCAGCAGACATAATAGTATATATGTGCCATGATTGCATTGACGTTGTGGCGACGGTGTTTTTGTCGAAATGTTGTTTAGATATTAAACTAATGGATTTTACTACATTTTTCAAATATCTATAATGTACATGAATGTCTGAACATTGACCTACCACTATAATCTAAAATAGTCTTAATGGATACATCGTATTTCATACAACATACATGTATTTTATACGTTAATCACTTGTTTAATGTGTCTACGCCTTGTAGCGTGAGAGTTTTTCCTATTATAAGGCATATTTTTAAGCAAAATAACCTAAATAATAATATATGTACTGATTACTTTCTTTCTCCATGATATATTTAGTCATCTAATCGATTATTGGGGTGATCCAAACTTGCAACGATATAGATAGTTGTTGATTGGTGTTGGTTGTGTATTGGATATTATATTTAGACAGAATTACGCAAGTCTTTTGCTAAAGAATCATTATTACCGACCACTTAATTTACTGATTACTGGATGAACTTATTAGAGGACTATTGGACCAACTACACAGAATACACAAAACGTCGATATAGAAACCAAAATTGAAGGCGTGGTTTTTCCTCGAAACACATTTTACAGAAAAAGTTCTCACGCATCGTAAAAAGGTTTGATTTGATTATTATTTTTTTTCATTAGATAATGGAGCCCTGAACGTCGATTTTTAATTTCACTGCTCAAAAGAAACATAATAAAAATAACAAAATTATAATTAGTTATATTCAAGTTAGTTATAAGTATATTTATATGGTTTAGAAAATATTTGAAAATCCAAAATTCGAGTGGACCCTGTACAAAGGTAATAAGTGTACCTCTTTTTTAAAAAAAAAGATAACTTTAAGAGGCGTGAGAGTTTTTCCTACTAGTTATCTCAAATATCTACAATATTTAATACTTATGGCTAAGAATGGATTTACAATCATTTACAATAATTTAAAATAGTTAAAGTTTGGTGAAAAGAATAGATACATTTTTAATTAATTAATAGTTTTTATAATTCTGTCATGGGGGTGTTATTTGCATAGTTATTTATTTCATTCCTAAGATATAAAGTATTTATGTGCTGTGGGATTCGAGCCGGATATGAAAGGAGAAACGATTTAAGAAAACATGACACTCAATATTACCGTTGAGAAGCTTGTATGAGAAATATAAATCTAATAGTAAACGACGCTGCTCAAGTGTTTCAAGGGAAAGATACGTTAGACTTGTGGTGTACAAAGAATGCGGCTTTATAGGTATGATACATTTAAAAAATAGGAAACTTAAACATTTTTGTTGGATTTTCTCAATTTTATAAATATTAACAGGTGCGTATAGAGACAAAATAATCGAGCCATATTAACTGATGGAAAATACCAAACAACAATAAATATGGAGTTTTAAGCTAAAGTGTCATCGAAATCTGCATAATTTCGACAAATAAAGCCAAGGATTTTATTTGATCTGAACACAATTTCGTTGATATGACATTCAAATTTCAGTTTAGGATCGAAAAGTCCAAGGTCTTTAATAGGTCTTATACTACGATGTATCGTTACACCATTTAGATTGTAATCAAAAGTTGAGAGAACTCAATCCCTTTCATTTAGTGAAAGTATATTTAGACAACACGAGGGCCGCAATAATTTGATTAAGCGTATGACAAAATTATAAGTTAAACTATTTTGAGAAGGGGGTTTCATATAGGTATTGTTTATAATATTTGTGAGTTTGACCTATTATTATTATTTTGTAATTATTACAATAATCAATTCCTTGAGAATACAATTTTTTATATAATGATCTAGGTACACCAATAATGAGTATCTATTATATCACCAACCAACAGCTTAAAAACAAAAAACCTATAATAGGTACCTATGTCGTATACATAGTATACATAAATATATGTTTATAATCTATGTATATATAAATATAAGAATGATCTTCAATCACCTGTGACTCCCTCTTACCCCCAGGCACTAATCAAAGGGAGTAATCAAATTGATTGTACGAGTTCGTCTACTACAATAATATAGAATATAAAATAACATGTCAGTAAACATAGTATACTTACTGCACATCTGTAGGTTCGTGTTTTAGTTTTATTTTCCATTGACTCTGCTGTGTGTTCCAGTAGCGATATATATTGCCAGCCTGTTTCAAATTCATCTTGATCGGTCGGCAATGATTCGCTAAGTTTGGACAAGCACTCAAACATGAAATGGTCCATATCTGATAGTTGCAGAGCACAACAGAACAAAATACCCATGAGTATAATAAATGTTTTTGATCCTGAATATTATTTGTTGACACAAGTTATATTTAGTGCTATTTTAATGAGCACGTTTGCGTGAGCGTATACACCCGTGATTTTTTACAATAGTTATGAATTTTAATACCCCAATGTATACTACACTCTCTATTATGTACCTAATTTTAGTATAGTAGGTATTAATATAGAAATATTATGTGTGCAAAGCGCTAGTCAATTTCATAATATTATTATACAAACATACCTCCAAAAAATATTATAGAATGACGACAATTAATTATACAGTTGATTGTATTTTATTTTTATATTGAGCAAGGTAATCCAAAGTTTTAAAAAGCTTTATAGCCCCGGATCTAAATCCCCCCCCCCCCAAACACCGTCATGTAAAAACCACAAACGGTAATATATATAATTTCAATATTAAATATATGAAGTATAATTGTATTCAGTGTATGATGCATAATACATGGGTGTTAAGTATTAACAGTAGTACCTACTTCAGAAAACTGCCACAGCATACCTAAACATCTATACAAAATGCAGTGACATTAAAAGTTAATGTTCGTTTTTGAGTAATTCAGTATATACAAGTAATAAATATACTTATATATAATAATGTACGATAATATATGCTCATAGGTTTAGAGGGAGACAGCTTTACTGTAACCACAGGCGCAACTCAAATAACCCTTCCCTCTACTGTGCTGTAACAATAATGATTCGTTATAGGTACGTACTTTGCATGTTGTCGCAATTTCCGTGTACAAATATTTTCTCGGGGCGCTCCAACCACAAATGGAACAATGGAGAATAGGCTTGTAGACTTTCCATATAGGCACATCCGAACATCAGTGACGTAGTTTGTAAAGTCTGTGCTTCAAATTTTGAGTTTCCAATTGGAGGACATACACGCAAGTAGGCTCTATCCAGAATGGCCTGTGTTCGAACTGAATCTGAAAACAAAATCGAGATAGGAAAAATTTTAAACAGGTATTAAATTGGAAACCGAAACCAAAAACAAATCGAAACCGGTATACAAAATCGAAACCAAAACCGACATTTTTTAAATCGGTTTAAAGCCCTTTTTAGTAAATATTACAACCATAAAATAACTGAATAATAATAAAAAAAATATAATAATAATTACGAGTTGTAGCATATGATTATAATTTTTGAATTCTCAACCCCAAATTAAGATCTTTTGAATTCAAATTTCTATTTTAAATTCCATATAAATTATATAGATAAATAATACATAAAACAATAGTTAAACATTTTAAACATACTATAATTACCTGTTTGTTTATTTTTTTCTGTTGAACCCGAGGCTACTGCCACGGAGTACATGATGGCAAACGAGATAAATATATTTGCTATGTTATACTCCATCGTGTTGTCGGTATATTCAGAAAATAAGCTTAAGTGAACAGTAAGTAAAAACGGATTTAAACGGACGGAATAAAATCAAAACAATCGTGACCCAGTCGTAGTAGATAGGTTAGAAAAACTTGCAAGGTTAAGACACGAATGACGATCTGCAGAGCTCTGCGTTCCGTTTTATATCAGCCAGGTTAGGTTCCCACCAGTTAAACGTCGAAGGCATTGTCATAAAATAAGTCATGTACCATGTCTCCGCAACAGTGTCAGCCACGTGGGGGGAGGGGGGGAGGCACCGGGCCCAGTGAATTATGCATTCTGAAAATCACTTTATCTATAAATATTCATAATAATATTGTCCCAATAGTACTCAAATTGGTAACACGTGTGGATGTGTGATTTTCTAAGGAAACGGGGTGTTATCGACGAAAATCAAAACAGTAGCAATATTATAAATACCTAGCTTAATCAGTTGACAGTTATTGGCTTGAAGATACTCAAACATATTTTAAATTCTTAATTTAACTATAGGAAAATTAATCAGTACCACCATTGATTATAAACACTACTATACTCTATTCAAAATAAGACCATGACCGGGTGGCTGAGTTGTGCGCATGGGCGTGGCTTTGTTCCTACGACTCGTCGCCGTAGTGGGGATGGCATCCGGCCATATGTCTGACCGCCGCCCGACAAAAACTGGCCGCTGCCTGATCAAGGTCTTATTTTGAATAGAGTATAGGTAGTATTTATAATCGTTAGTACCATTAGTACCACGTAGGTAGGCAATTGGAAAAAAAAATTTTACTGTCGACGACACAGATACGTATATTATATATCTGTGGTTGACGACGACCGATAACAGTACGCAATATAGGTACAGACAATATTTTTGTATTATACTCCCTATAACATAGTATAATAAAATTAATATTTTTACACAGCCAACAAAAGGCTACATAGGTAACGGGCGTAATTTAAGACATATCTTTACCCTATAGTCTATATAATATATCCAAAATTAATATTTAAAAAAAATGATACTATTTTGTATCAAACATTCAAAACAAATTTCACATTTATCCATGGATTACAACATTTCTTTCTTTGTTAGAATCATTAAAATTATTCTTGTCAGAATTTTAAAAACAAGACTAATAGCCAATAGGTAATATTTTTATTCACGGGGATTCTTACAGAAACTATACTGAATACATGGTATATTTCTGTATTATATTAAATTGTTTTTCAATATATTATAATATACGAATCCAAATAATTTTAGATTCTGAGTGAAACGATGAATGTATTGATTTTACAATGATGTGTGTTTTTTTTTATTTTTTTTTTTTTGTGTCTGTCATCACGTTTTAGGACAGTAAAAGTGCTTGGATTTTTTTCAACAGTAGCTTTTCTGATAGGAAAGTGAATCTAGTTGGTACTTTTTCTATACACGATAACATTTTTAAAATGTTTTGATTTATTTTGAATTGCTTAGGCACATTTTCATTTTCCATTATTTTTTAGTTTTTTTTCTAAAAATATCAATAAAATATTATTTGTTGGTTAAAAAAGCTTGAAAATTTAATACAAGGCTCCTAGTATATTGTTTCAAAGGCAGATGAAAAATATTAAAAATCCTTAGTCACAATTTTTTTTTATAAGCATTTAAAGTTCAAAAATTGACAAAATATGGAAAAATCACGAAAATTAGCAAATTATTTTGAGTTAAGTATTCGTAAAAATTTTTCTTTTTAAACCTAAGATTTAAAAATGTAATACAAGATTCCTTATAAGATTATCTACCTTTATCAAAAAAAAAATGTCTATAAGGAAGTCGAATTAAATTTTTATGAGCGTTTGAAATTCAAATTTTTACAACATTGGATATTCACTCGATTTCTCATGTATCGATTTCCTTTTTTTGTTGTAACACAAAACGAATAACTGTAAATACATGAAAATTTTACTGAATGTTTATATTAGCATTTCCTATACATCATACAATTTTGAAAATATTTTGACTCTTTTTGAGCTGTTTACGGACATTTTAAGTTTTCAATTTTTTTAGTTTTTTTTTCTATAAATATCAATAAAGTTTTATCTGTTGGGCCAAAAAGTGTAAAAATTTAATACAAGCCTCCTGATATATTGTTACAATAACAATTGAAAAATATTAAAAATACATAGTCACAATTTTTTTTTTATAAGCATTTAAAGATCGAATTTTGACAAAATTGATCAAAATCTCGAAAATTATCAATCATTGTAATTAATAAATTATAAAATGTTCAGTTTTTATAGCTAAGGATTTCAAATTTAAAACAAGATTCCACGTAAGTAGTTAATTCTCTTACCTAAAAATCTAAAAAATATACAACCACAGTTTATTTTTATAGTCATTTTATGTTCAAATTTGGACGAAATTACATATTAAAAAACCTAGTTATTTTGTTGTGATTATATAATATTATTCGTGGGTACCTACTTGAAACTTCTAAAGTACACTATATTATATATCTATGATAGTATCAGGGTTTGTTATTGATGTTGATGTATAACGTGTTATAAGTACCTAATGGATATTGTGAAAATTTTGATATGATTAATTTGGAATTTATTATAGGTCAATTTTTTTTTAATACCATCGATATGTATATAATTTGTCTTAAACCTAGACTGACATACCGTCTTCGCTCAGAATCGTTTTTCTTATACAACGATATTGTATCATTGAATTCAAATTTAATAGCATCCATTATACAGTGACCCACTTATAACCTACTGTACAGCAGAGTGACATCCACTTACCCACCTTTTTTTATTATTATTTTTTATCCTGTAAAACAAATTTCTAACGGAATGAGCTCTTTGATGTCAACATATAGTTTCTTACCTTTTAGAAAATTGGATCAAGATAGTACCTACTAAAGAGTGTTCATTTGTCGATTTTCTCATTCATTTTTTAACGTCAACGGAAAAACCACAAAAATACCCTACTGTTAAGCTATTTTTTTTCCTAGCGCTTTGTTTGTTACCATAGAAACGAATAAAATTGTAAAATGGCTACACTGATCCTAATCCCAAAATCGTTTTTTTTTAATCGAATGCAATCATTGCATTCTAATCGAATACTGTAATAATACACTATCATGTCCGAGGACCGAAGGGAAGATTGACAAACTTCCAACAGCACAGAAATAATTAATTCCATTGCACTAACACGCTTTTTTTTCATACATAACCCCCTTATATAAGCCCCTGATTGCAGTTAATCGGTATCAATAAAATTCGGTGTATGCACATCATAACTTTCGAACTTAATTTTTACTTTTGACCCACAAAAGTACTTTACTAGATTCACTTTACTATAAGAAAAGATGCTGTTGAAGAAAATCTAAGCATTTTTACTGTCCTAAAAGATGATGATAGACACAAAATTAAAAATCTAAAAAAAAAACATTCATCATTATAAATCCAATACATTCATAATTACGCTTAGAATCTAAAAAATGGTTTATCAAGTCATATGGCATTTTAAATTTAAACTTTTATAAATGTAGTTTTATCTTTATTTTTGCAACTCAAAATTGTTTAATTTTTTTCAAATGTTTTATTCGATTCAGCTGTGTATAACAGGTCTATATTTTTCTTCGAATTATCTATTCACTATTGTATTAATGACAAATACGAGTTGTAATTTTATCACTCCTGGTTTTTTTGGTCGAAATTTCATATTAGTTTATTTATTAAAAATTATTTCAACACTAAACATTGTTTTTTTAAATGTATAACCAACTATACTGTCGAATACCCCACTGTGTATACATATGGAAAATACGTCATGAAGGTATTTCTACACACTGAATGAAATACAACAAATATAATGTTAATAATTATATTAATTCGGATCCACCATTCTACTGGTCACGAGCAAAATAATAATAAAATTATTGTATGTATAAATTGTATTATTATTGGGTTTAAGATTATTATGTTCCCCATTTACATTCAGCATTAGAATAACACATTTTATCCTAAGACAAAAAAATTGAAATATCTCTTTTATACCCATAATAACAAGGGGATTGAGGTTTAATGATGACAGTCTCTGTGATTTGACAGCTTTACACGGTTTACCATACATTGTATGCGTAATCGTAAGTACCTACATAAAACTGTGACCCATGAAGCAACAAACGCATGCATTAAAAACGAACAATATATTATTAAAAATATAAAAGTATTTATGCTCTAGAAATCATGAAAGCCTGCACTTAAGGATCAGAATGTAAAACCATTAACCTGTAAATTCAAATAATGCATGAAACATATTATAATGTATTGTGATTAGATTCGTCAGTCTTTGTTCTCTGATAATACATTTTTCGTCGCAATGTACTTACATTGATATGGGTGACAAGGTCACCGTTCGGGTTTTGTCATCGAGCCTTCCCTTATCTATAGTGTTTCATCGACCATCGTGCACTCTTATTCGTCTTTATTCTTCTTCTCGTTATTTCTTATCATTCATATACTTTAAATAGTATTATTATTGTTGAATATTGTGTTATAACACAGACCTAATTTAATATTACTATGGAAATGGTCACGACTCTGTATCTAATATGGATTTCTTTTTACGGTGTGTGATTTACATATTATCTATAATTTTTAATATTAATATTTGTAAAACGCTGAGATTAATATATGCAGCTACACATAATATACATAATTCACTCATAAACAAAATGAACACAGGAAAACCAGCCTACAAATTACGAAAAGCCGCTAAAAGCGGGATTCTATTTTATAACGCTTTACTCATCACTATAGAAACGAATAAAAAATAATATATTATAATAATATATAGTAATTTATAAAAGTGCAGAGTTTGTTTGTTGAACGCTCTAATCTCAGGAACTACTGGTTTGAATTCAAAAATTGTTTTTGTTGGATAGTCCATTCATCGAGAAAGGCTATAATAGCCTATAGTGCATAGGATCAGCTAGTACAATAATATTATTAATTCAACTCACAGGCTATTCAATTGTAAGGGGTTTTCTACGACTGCGCTAACCAAGAAAACTACTGAACCGATTTGGCTGATTCTTTTTTTGTTGTGTTCGTAATTGTCAGAAAAAGGTTCTTATGGAAAACAATTTAAGGAAAATTCACCAGAAAAGTAGGAAATCTGGATGTCAAAAATACAACAGTGGCACCGTCTGTTCAGAAAAAAATAAATTAAATAATAAAAAAATTTAGTTTATTTTTGCAGATTAAAATAATAATAGTGTATTATATATTTATTGCCATTGGTTGAACGGGCATGTTTGGTGATTTGTATAAATATTTTTTATCAATATATATATGAATTAATGTTTGTGTGCAGATTGACCTCTGGGAACAAGATAGGCTAATTTAAAAAGTGTTAAATTTGATTTTTTTTTTATTCATTAGATTTTAGTTCGGTTCGGTTAGGTTAGGATTTTGCATTAATTGATTATATTAATCCACAGTAGGTGGATGACTGATTGTAGACTATTTTGTAAGAAGTTATGCCAAAATTGATTACAATTTGTTTTGTGGAGCAAAGGGAAAAACATTGGGAAAAACAATAATAACCATAGTTGGATAATTTTCTGTTGGCTTAAAAATTTATTTAAATTTTTCAAACCATATGTTATGTTGAGAGTACTAAAATAAATGAGTTTACAAACTATAGTGGCGCCCACTTATTTTAGAGTTATTTAAACTATACAAAATGGTTGTTATAAAAATATTGAATACTTAAATTAACTACCTATAATCAATGTTAAAATAATTGTAACTATAAAGCTAGTATAGTAATGTCAAATTGTCAACCATACAATTGTTTTAGTACAAGTACCTATTGAAGTAGTAGCTATAGTTAAATTAAAAAAGGTATAGTTTTTTAACTATGAAAAAGCTTATACATTTTTGTGTTATCGATGATGTTGTCAATATTTGTACTTTAAATGATCATAAAAAAATAATTACTATATATTTTCATATTTAATTTTTTTAAGCCAAGATTAAAGGTGGGCGGCGGCATTCATGATTAAATTTTTCATACATTTAGACCTTTAAGCTGGAGAAAAATAAATATACTTCCATAGTAGTCCAATTTTAGTTTTGAATACTAATTTGAACACTAATGTTAGCGGTTTTTATATGTTCTATAAGAAAAACTTTTAAATCCTTTTTTTCCATTGGCCCTTTAAAGTAGGTATCTACCTACCTACATATTCATTTTGAGAAATAAAGTGATTTCGTTTGGAACCGTAATAAATACATTTTTAAAAATAACCAAAATCTATCTCCTATAAATTCAAATAAAAGGAATTAGAATAGAAGCTAATGATTTCAATTTTTTTTAATTACAAAAATATTTTCAATGAAATATTCAAGTGTTGAAACGGCACGGTCTCAACGGACTGGTGTCCGAAATAACAACTCTTAAGTTTTCGCTATAATGTCTTATTCTTTATTTTACATAAATATATATTTTGTACAATTTGGGGGCAGCGAGGATCACGGGTACGACGCTAGGTCTATGAAGATGGACCGTCGCGGTGAGAGTTCAGTGGCCAGGTCCTAGTTACAAATGTGAAGGAATGTATAGTTGGAACGTTCGTATGGATGGGGTCAGTATACCACGGCTGACTCGCAAGAAGCGGCTACTGCGGTATACTAGAAAGTAGACACGGGTTTCGACGCAACTCGATTAAGTGGCCGTAGGAGGGGACGAGGGGGAGTTGGGGCTATGGATGCGGGGATGGTGTTGTTCGAAGCTTCTCGGTCTCCCCTACATGTAGTCCTTGTTATTCAGAGTGTGAAATAACTTTGGAGCTCTGTAATTAGGACCAAAAGTTATTCTACCGGGTTGTGCTTTTATGCTGGGGATGTGATTGGTGGTACTGAAAAGGACCGTTTTATGTGTACGACGGTGTACTGTTACAACCATAAGATATCTAGTGAAAACACATCCAAGGGTGTGTGTTTCGCTGGGTGCCATGGAGTTGACAGTCAGCTGCATTCGTCAACGGCCGGGACGTCCATAGCGTGACAGATGGATATTGATTTTCGAATCTGCTAACACCGAGCCACAGTCAACTCAATGCCCCAATAACAGCCTTCGTCGCCTTACTCTAGCGACCAACCCTTTCTGAGTCAGACGGTATGGCGACGAGTGTCTTAGAAATGGACGACTCTTTCGGCGTCGAGGCTGGCATATCGATCCGAAGCCGACGATGGTTTGGGTGACATCGGTTCGTTCGAAGATCACTTCACCCGGCTTCACCCTGTAAAACTCGTACCAGCCATGGCTCCACCACATTATGAGAATTGGCATAGCGATTCGACTTCTGGATCTCACAATAGGACTTTTGCGTGCCGGGGGTGCGTGTTACGAGACCGTAAAGAACTTCAGTAAAAGCCCACCAACCGGTGACTGACCGCGCTGGAGTGAGGAACAGAAGCAGCGGGAACTAAAAAAACGGATGTCTGTAGAGCTAAGCTGTGCGCAGCTCCGGCCAGGGGAGCAGTCAACGGTTAAAGGTTTGCACGGCTAGCAAAACGACTGACAGTCTACGGACGTTAAATCAGAAGCGGCGTCGCAGTGCGGGCCTGGACCGCAGTCGCAAGACCCATTTAGCCGGCTGATCGCAGCAAACCGACTTAGTGTATTCAGTCTATATAAAGCCTTGAAGTGGCTAGCGTTGATCGACGATTACGGGTAGGCCAAACCAGGTCGGGCCACTGTGTGGATTAAGTACTCTTGGCCTCCAAGCGGGGAACGAGCCGCCGTCACACCTTTCACGATGGTCGCTCGACTAGGCTACGTCACCAGACTTGCTAAACCATCCACCGGCTGGGTGACGTGCGTCACGACACACTCGGCAAGGTGACTAGGTAGGGCGCCAGGTTACTCGGAGCCTGAAATTTCTACCCCTATGGTACTACGCAGTGGTGGTATTAGCAGTAGGCCATAGCTTGTTTCTTAAGCTTAAGGCGGGGCGTCGGGTTATAACACCACTGAACGGCACCCCTGAGACGCTTTCCGCCGGCCGACGGGGTCACGTCATCGACGCGACCACATAACAGCGCGAAACCCACTATTGGTGCGGGGATAAACAGGGCGGGGAGGACGAGCTTCTTGAAGCCAAAATTCCTGCCTCACGGTCGCTGCGTGTTCAACATGCGCACCAAAAGACATTGGACAGGAAGTGTCCCGGCGTGTGGTAACGATCGTGATGGGACGCACGCCGACACGATCCGGGAATTTCGGGGAAACTGCCCCGGGTGTTTCTCACACGAGAGTACGACTATGTCTTGAATATAAAGGCAGGCGGTCTCGATACGTCCGTAGCGGCCGAAGCGCGGGGTCTTTTGGCAGAAGACCACCGTCAGCTCTATCACGCTTAAGACAGTGCGCCAGGTCGAAATACCCCTGAAAACTGTCCAGGGGTACCATCACTGATACGGGAAGCATTATGGCACGATCGACGAGCGACGGGGTCAAAGGCAGTTGGGGCAGGCGCTGAAACCTATGTCACGGTCAATTCAACTCGCCGAACAACGGGTCAGTACAAGCCCGTCCCGTACTATCCCATTGAGCCAGAACGCGCCGTACAAACTGCCCGAGGTCTTACGGGGCGAAATCCCTCCCTCGACGCCTATTTCAGTGGGCGCCAACACTGTGAATAGTTTCAAGGGAAAATAGCCAAATAATCCCCACCAGTAGCATGGGAAACGGTCCACTGAGCACCTTCAGCCGAGTGTGAACTCGTCCATCGAGCATAAGGCAAAGCTCATACCGCTTAAAAGTTATGACAAGGCTAGGGGAGTCAGCCGTATCGCCTCTTTAGGGCTTTAGGGCCAGTGGGAAAAGGACTTGAGGTACCAGAATAAAGGTATCTGAAACTGTAAAACGAATTGTCAGAGTTAGAACCGTGCCGATCGTCCTTGCCCTCGTCGACCGCTTCTAGGACTCACCGACGAGGTCGGTATACGTGGTGTCTGTGATAGTACCGTCTTAGTAGAACGAGTGTGCTCAACCAGGGTTGTTACTGTCGCAGCCGACGCTTCTTAAGAGACTCAAGAAATATCTTAAATGCATATGCTTTGGGCCACTGTCTGTCGCTTGGGCGCCTAGTGCACCCTTTGGTGCCAGATGTAGCTGCGTTAAGAGGCGCGGAAGGAAACAACTTTCTACATACGGCTAAGTATCTAAGAAACCAACAAGTTATGGCTTCGTACTCCGCCTTACACAATGGTTATTGATACACCATAATATATTTAAAATATTTTGAATTGTTTTGAACTGTTGAGGACATTTTCAATTTTCAATTTCCATTTTTTTTAGCTTGTTTTTCTATGAATGTCAATACAATTTTATTTGTAGGCTGAAAAAAAGTTTGAAAATTAAATAAAAGTCTCCTTATATATATTTACAATTACTTTTGAATAATATTAACAATCCAGTCACAATTTTTTTCATAAGCATTTGAAGTTCAAATCTTTACAAAATACGTAAAAATCACGAAATGATTCAATATAAATAAACCATGATTGGAAATATTCTTAATTTAAAATCTCGACCTAACTCCAAGGTCTAGGCGAAGTATAGTTCCGAAAGGTAAAACGGGACCCTATTACTGAGGCTCCGTCACCAGGCTGTATCTCATGGACCATGAAAGTTAGAAAGTTGAAATTTTCACAGGATTATGTATTTCTGTTGATGCTATAACAACGTATACTAAAATCCCTAAAATATATAATATAAGTAGTGTTGAAAACATGTTTATAGCTGATTATGATCAGTATTATGATCAGCTGAACGGAACCTTTCTTGCGCGGGTCCGACTCGCACTTGTCCGAATTTTTTTAGTAATTTATGTTTTTATATTTATACAGAGCTACATATTAAATAACCAAGAATAACAATTTTAGTTATTTTTTTTTTAATTTTATAATATTAATTTAACTTACCAGTTACCCGCTACCGAATAAATAATAAGTAATAACAATAAAAACAAAATATCAAATACCAAATACTGACAAACCGTCTTCGCACAGAATAGCTTTTTGTATACAATAATTATATAGCATTGAATTCAAATTTGTGGAAAGTGAAGCTTGACGTACTAGTGATTTTAGCATTAATATAATAAGTAATAACACGACAATATGATTATGTATAAGTATAATATATAATAACGTACAACTGGACAATTAAACTGTGACTATACACACACACCGCGTACACTCGGTATGACAGCGTCTGTGCAAGTGAGTATTACAAACATCAAAAACCCTATTTATATGAACAATCGAGGCCATCCCGTATCCGTATATAATATAGAAAGCTATAGTAAAAGTGTTGCACAGCTATATCGTAACTGCATAAGTATCTATTAGAAAACGACATTGTACACGCACGTGTGTTTACATGGTTTGAATACTAATATTAATTGTATATTTCAACAAAATTCAATACCATCTATTACAGGGACTTACTTGTAACCTACTGTACAGCAGAATGACATACACTTAATCCCTTTTTTTACTGCTTGCAGATAATAATATGTATTTTAAATTAATTTGTTATTTTATTATGATGGACATTTCGTTTACTTCAATTAATATAGTAGATAGTTGTAAATTAGTGAATGAATAAAAACAAAACAATATTAAAATTATTTAATAGTCACGATAAGTTAAGTTGAAATAATTCAATATTTAAATCTATTGTAATAACTTATAGATTATGTAACATGGGTACTTAACAGTAATAAATGTCTCTACACACACAACGGACTACCTTTTTTAGCGTAGCAAACTTCGGTCGATACCTGTAATAAAATATATATTATATAATATATAATATTATTTTCATATAGGTATAATATTATTTAGATTAGGCTTATAAAATGTGTTAAATATAATGTGGTCACTGTTTTTATATGAACTTTTGTTAAAACGCACAGTGTGAATCGCACAGAAACAGAATATCTTTGTGTATAATTTCGCTTTCATTGTTTAGTTGTTCACAAAATCATATATTTTAATTATTATTATTATTATCATAAAAACTAATCTTAATGTGTAGCCAGCCTTGCTGGGTATTTTTAAGGTCTTTTATGAAATTTGATCAAAGCAGCACGTGCAGTTTAAATACGAATATACAGACCCTTAAAACCGGTAAACGTTTTCTTGATTTCCGACAACAATTCAATGTTGGAGTCACGCCAATGTCGACTTGCACAGATATTATACTACCTACATGTATAGAAACATGAAAAACACCGTTCTTAACAACGACACTTCAGGGTTGTTGATGAAAATATAATGTTATCACTGTCATCCAATATTATTTTTCCTAGTTACACGTGTCCTAAATATAACATTTTTATACCGAAATATTATTTTGGTGTTTTGAGATCATAAGTGAATACATTTAAATTAATAAATATTAATGCAATATTAGGCATATTACAAATGCGTTTCAAAAATCATATTAAAATCATAATACCTATAAGATCATAGCTTATGTCCTATATATTATAATATTATAGCCAACAGACAATAGTTAATTAAGGCTGGTGAAAGAAAACCATTTTTAAGGGATAGGTAAATGGAAATATTTTATTTCCATTTACCTATCCATTGTGGGTGATGTGTTACTACAATGTATTACTGATCATTACTGTACGTAAGTTCCCCGTACATTTAATGCTAAGATTCTTGGAAATCCGTCATGTACCTACATACATACCCGCAGACTATATTTTGAGATCAAAAAAGTTTCAACTGGAGGTCCCAAAATACGGAAGAAAAATTCCGATATTAACTATGAAAACCTATTTTAATTCATTTTTATATCTAAATTATGTAGAAAACGGATTTTTGAACTTTTGTATTGTTTAATTAGTATTGTACAAACATTTTCAAAATTCACCGTTACTTTAATGATATAGTAAAAAAAAAATCAATTTCTTACATAACCCATAAAAGAGAATGCAGAATTCAAATATTTTTTTCAAAATTAAAATTTTACTTCTGGAAATATAATTTTTTACTTCCACATATTGCATTTAGCCCCCAAAAAACCTTTAGCCTTAAGGGGCCTTGCTACGGTGATTATTTAAGGGGCAACATTTAGGCAATTTCTAATCTTGCCATAGCCGCCCGAAATCTATGTGTTAGTTATAAATGATTATTAGTGTGAGTGCAATTAAATGCGGGAATCCTCTCTCGTACGCGCATGCACATATCAATAACTCGATAACCAAATCAATTTCATTACACGAATTTTACAGAAACATACATTTGTTTTGACAAAATTAGAGTTAATTAACGTTGTCCGATTTTGATTCTAAAAAAATATTGGAATTCAGCAGAAAAATGTTTGTAGATTGTACGAAACGTTTTCCGTTTTTAGAATAAATTTTATTTTTAATTATGAATCGAAAAAGTTCATATTTTCAAGTTTTCAATTACAGTTCACAATAATATAACATTTAGTTTTTACAAAGTGCTTCGTAGGATCTATAGACAATTGTCTGGAGGGTTCAAACTTTTTTCAGAATCAAAATCTGACAACGTTAATTAACTATAATTTTGTCAATACTTTAGGTCTTTTCACCTAAAATTGAGGGCAGTAGCGAGGCCCATTAATGATTTTTATCCATGTATTAAATTGTATTATTATACATTAAAGACAATATAGAAATATAATAAAATATACCTCCATAAAAGGCTTGGAAAATGTAATTAACATTTAACTACCATACAAAATGTTTTTAATAGTGGTTACAAAACTATTTAAGGATATTTCCTGCAATTGTTCAAACTTCAAGTTCAAGTTCGGCTTAACAGCTTAACATTATGTGACTAACCCAACATAATTATAGTTATTAAATATTCAACTAATTCAGATAAGAGACCAAACAATAATACTTGAAATTTTAATTAAGGAATCCTTTATTGTTTGTATTTAAAGAAAAAAAATTCCGTTTTTGGGAGATAATAAAAGTTATATTTGGGGTTCAAGGGCCGGTTTGATTCATATTTCCCAGGAATAATAATAATAATAATAAGCTTAAAATAGGATTTTAATTTCTAACGCTTTGTTTATCACCGTAGCAATGAATAAAAAATTATAATATTATAATAATATAAATCCAACTTAAACGCTATAGGTAATGAATAATCTATAAATATAAAAATCGAGCATGAAATTGTCGTTACCTCATCAATCGAGAACGGCTGGTCTGATTTGGCTTAATTTTTTTTTAAGATGTTAGTAATTTCCAGGAGAGAGAAATCCACCTGAAAAGTAGGAAATCTGGATGTAAAAAATACAACAGTGTATTATTAACTGTTGCTATTGGTTAATCGGGCATGTTTATTGATTTGTAATATTATTTTTTGTCAATATATAAATCAATGTTCGTGTGTAGATTAGACCTCTGGGAAGAAGTCAGGATAATTTAAAAATGATTAAATTTGGTTTTTTTTTATTCATCTGATATTGGTACGGTTAGGTTAGGATTAAGTATTAATTGATTATATTAATCCACAATAGGTGGAATACGACAAACTTGGTATAACTTTGATACTTAAGAGTTAAATCATACACTTACGTACAAATAGCACTGTAGATTGCCTAAATAATATTATACTGCTGCGAAGCAGAATTTTTATTCCGGGCAATGGAAAAGTTAAGATACATTTTGAACACCATATACTGAATATTAAATAACGAATTGGACAATGTTTGAGTCATATAGAGTTGGTACAATTAACTATCAACAAAGTGCACGGGATCAGCTAGTCAAAATATAAAAATCCTGACTGATAAACCGTCTCAGCTCAGAATCGTTTTTCTTATACAATGATACTATATCATTGAATTCAAACTTAATAAAATACACTATACATTGACCCACTTGTAACCTACTCTACAGGAGAGTGACATCCACTTTAGTAATTATTAATATTATTTTCCGGCAAATTGATGAAAACAATATACATTTTTGAGCTGCATATAATAATTAAAATTATTAGGTATATAATTTGAACATTTTATAAAATTTCGACTACAAAATAATTAATACATTTTGTAGAAAATGGAACTTTAAATGCTTATAGGAAAAACTGTACATATATATTATTAATATTTTTTAACTGCTATTGTAAATATACCATGAGCTTTGTATTAAAATTTCACTCTCTTCGACCCAACAAATAAAACTTTATTAAAATTCATAGAAAAAAAAAAGGCAGGTAAGTGGATGTCGCTCAGCTGTACAGTAGGTTACAAGTTGGTAATTGTTTAATGGATTGTATTAAACTTGAATTCAATGATATAATATCATTGTATAAGAAAAACGATTCTGAACGGAGACGGTTTGTCAGTCTGTATATTTTATATTGTCATTAATTATTATAACATGTAAGTTGTTTTAATACTATAAACATGATATTTATATAGATAATACCTACCTATTTTTTTTTTATTCGTTGCTACGGTGATAAACAAATTGTTAGAAATTAAAATCCCATTTTAAGCGGTTTTTCGTAATTTTTCAGTACTTTTTCCCGTGGCATTAAATAACTATTGAGAAAATCGAAAAATGACCTCTCTAAAGTACCATCTTGGTCCAATTTGCTAAAATATAAGGTACTATATGTTGAAATCAAAGCACTCCTTCTGGTAGAAATTTTGTATACAAGATATAAAAAAAAAAATAAAAAAAATAAAAAAAAATAACAGAATTGTAAAACCACTAGCTTCCTTGCTCCTCTCAGAATCTAAAAACTAAAATAATTGAAAACTACAGCTCAAGAAGATTCAACATTTTATGGTGTACAGAAAATTATAATATAAACATTCAGTAAATTTGTCATGTATTTACAATTATTCCTTACTGAATTACCACAAAATAAAAAAATGAGAAATCGAGTGATTATGCAATGTTGTAAAAATATGAACTTCAAAAGCTCATAAAAATTTAATTTGACTTTCTTGTAGACATTTCTTTTTTCATAAAGGTATACAAACTTATGAGGTATCTTCTATTACATTTTTCTAATCTTAGGTTTAAAAAGAAAATATCTATTTCAAAATAATCATTTTTACGTATTTTGTCAATATTTTAACTTTTAATTTTTATAAAATAAAATTGTTTATATGGATTTTTAATATTTTTCAAATGTAATTTTAAGTCATATTATTAGCCTTGTTTTAAATTTTCAAGATTTTTCACCCATCAAATAAAAGTTTATTGACATTCATAGAATAAAAAACTTAAAAATGTAAAAACATATATTATATAAGCTTAGAAATATAGATTTATTATATTGAATAAGAACTAAATATTCTTACTTTAAGACACTTGCTTCCAATCTCGAAGTAACTCCAAGGTATAGGCTAAGTATAAAAAAACGGCTTTAAAAGTTGTGGTATAATTTTATGGGAAGTTAAGTCTTTGAAATATAGATATAATTTATGTTAAAATAATCTGCTAAAAAATGTCTACCAGAAAGTCAGATGAAATTTTATAAGAGTTTGAAGTTCATAATTTTACAACATTGGATGTTCACTTGATTTCTCATGTATCGATTTTCTTATTTTTTTTTTAATTCAAAAACAAATAATAACTGTAGATACAAATTCAATTTACACCATATTTTAATTTTACCAATTACGAAATTTTATAATATTTTCAAAACATTTTGACTTTTTTGAGCCGTTATAAAAAGGCTCCTGACATAATAATTAAGAAGCAGTTGAAAAATATTAAAATAACATATGTACACGTATTTTTATAAGCATTTAAAATTTAACATTTGACAACATTTATTAAATTTTAAATTTTAAAACGATTTTGTAGTTAAAAATTTATAAAATATTCAACTTTTATAGCTAAGGATTGAGAACGTACATCAAGGTTCCACGTAATAGTATGTTATTCTGTAACCAAAAAGGACTCAAAAATATAAAAATACGGTTTTTTTTTATTGTTACTTTGTGTTGAAATTTTGAAGAAATTTCATATTAAATAACCAAGAATAACGGTTTTAGTTATTTTAATGTAATTTTATAATATTAATTCAACTTGCCGGATACTGTATTAATAAATATGTAATAACAATATAAATATAATATAAATTATTCACACTATTAAACCGTCACCGCTTTGACCGATTTTTCTTATTCAATGATTCTTACCCACCTTTTTATATTTTATTCTTAAGTTCTATAAAAATGTTGAACTAGTTTTACTATGTTAACGTTACTGATTATGTTAAAAAATATATGAAAAGGGCTCTCATACATGCACCATTCAATAAAAAAGTAAATATCCAATACAAATGCAACTAACAATTAAATTTTTGTTATTTATTATATTTTAAATGTATAAAAACATGTTTTAATTTTAGAGTTAAATAATATGCATATTAGGATAATATAAGGTACATAGGTATAACATACATAAATACATAGGTACTATTTACCTATATCATAAAACTATAAAATATTAATTAAATCAAATTATACTAAATATAATATAAATAGTAATTTGGGAAAAAAAACCAAGAAGGATGATTAGGTTTTTCTGTGGTTGTGGGACGTTTGGTGGTAGTTCTTGTTGATGGCAGACTGGTCGTTGTTGAAGGCATACTGGCCGTTGTTGAAGGCCTACTGGTCGTTGTTGATGGACTATTGGTCGTAGTAGTGGGACGACCAGTAAACGATAATTCTGGGTATTTTGTACCGTTGTTAAATATTTTAGCTTTTCTACCTAACAAGTATATATACAAAGACCCGTCGGGCCAATATCGATATCCCTCAGGGATGACTGGCAGTTCATCCTGTGCCAGAAGATCAGATAGGCCGTTGCACTGGCGTACATGAAAATGCTCACCTATTACCGGCTTGCTAATCACCATCCGGATTATCCTTAACTGCCTATCGTCTTCATCGTGCACATCGTACAACTGTGGACAGAACGGAAAAATACAGCGATAGAGAGCAAGAAAATTAATTAACCATAACTAATATGTATAAAATATGTAAATATAAGTACACTGAAATCCACAATCAACCCCATTTACAAACGTCGATGATGTTGTGTTTTATACCTGCAGATTTCACTGTGAGATTACCGAGAATAGGTGTTGGATTGGTGTTGGTTGTGTATTAGATAATATTATATTTAACATTATAAATTCTATTTATTCGATATAAAAAAATATATATAATGAGTCAAAGTTGGTGAAAAGAATAGATAAGTTTTTAATTTATTGATAGTTTTCATAATTCTGCTATGGGAGTGTTATTTGCATAGTTATTTATTTCATTTCTAAGATAAAAAGTATTTATAGACTTTGGGATTTGAGCAGGAGTATAGAAAGAGAAACAACTTAAGAAAACATGACACTCAATTTACCGTTGAGAAGCTTGTATGAGAAATATAAATCTAATTGTAAACGACGGTGCTCAAGTGTTTCAAGACAAATATACGTTAGAATTGGGGTGTACAAATAATGCAGTTTTATAGGTATGAAATATTTAAAAGATAGGAAACGTAAACATTTTTGTTGGATATTATCAATTTTATAAATATTAACAAATGTGTATTGAGACAAAATAATAATTATTCTTTTGTAATTATTACAATAATATATTCCTTTCAGAGAATACATTTTTTAATATAATGATCTAAGTACACTAATAATAAGTATCTATTATTTTACCAACCACCCTCGCAAGTCAAGATTATGAAGGGCAGCAAGGGGGGCACGGTCCAGGGGCTCATCTTAATCCCCAATATATATTTTTTTTAATGGGTCTAATACAGTTTTCAAAAAAGAAATTAGAATTTAAGTATAGGTATAGTATTTAAATTATTCTTTATAATTATAAAATAAAATTTTTCTCCATTTTATACCATGAAAAATTACTATACAAATAATGAACTATGTTTGCCAACAATTTTGTTTTAGCTTTTTTTATTTTTTTGAGCATTTTAGATTACTGATTTAACTATTTAAGTATACAAAAAGGTAGTTATAAGAAAATAATATTTAGCTCTTGTAAATTATATATTTCAGTTAAAAGTATTAATGCATATTAAACTAAACTTTAGGGGACCATAGTTAATACCCTAGGTAACCAAAATTAATCATTCGACTGCCAAAACATTCAGAAAAAGTTTTACCAGAATCCATAAAAAGATACCGAATTTACCATTTGAAAAAATAAAGCCCATTTTATTATTGGTACAATAAAAGTGTGTTTAAAAATTTTAAAAATGTAGTAAAAAAATTGCCCGTTAAAAATAAAGAAACCCATTTTTTTTTATTTTAACGAAATTCCATACCATCGATTCATTATTGTTAAAAAAAAACCCGTGTACAATGACATATAATACACCCCGTATATTTTTTGTATGGTAAAAAATTATACAATAATATAAAGTCGTTAATAATTATTTTGAAGTTAAAGTTGAAAGGGGGCCCACTAAGTGTAAGGTGTCCCGTGGCCCAATTGATCCTTAATCCGGGCTTGCACCAGCGTAAAAGCGAAAAACCTATAATATGTATGTCGTATGTATATAAGAATGACCTTCAATTACATATGTCTCCCTCTCGCCCCAGGCACTGGATTAGTAATCAAATTGGTTGGTTCGCCTATACCACAATAATATACAATATACAATGACACTTAGGTAAATAAAGTATACTTACGGCACATCTGTAGGATCGTTTTTTGGTTTTATGTTGCATTGACTCTGCAGTATGTTCCAGTAATGATATATAATGCCAGTCCATTTCCGATTCGTCCTTATTAGTCGGCCTGTCATGTTTCGACAAACACTCGAACATGAAGTGCTCCATATCTGATAGAGGCATAGAGCACAACAGAACAAAATATACAAAAGTATGATAAATATTTTTGATCTGAATGTTATTGGTTGACACAAGAAATAATTAGTGTTATTTTGATGAGCACGTTTGCGTGAGCGTATACACTTGTGATTTTGTACAATAGTTGTGAATTATAATACTTAAATTTATCCTCTGCTCTCCTCTCCTCTCCTCTGCTCTATTATGTACCTAATATTAATATAGTAGGTACACCTATAGGAATATGTGTGCAAAGCTCAACTTAATTTCATAATGTTATCATACAAACAAACAATAGATTATAGAATAACGATAATTAATAATAGTTTATTTTATTATGATTTTTATATTGATCCGGGTAATCCAAAAAGCTGTATAGCCCCGATGCTAAAGCCCCCACCCACCTAAAACGATCGTGTAAAAAACACAAACTGTATTATATTATACAATATCAATATTAAATATGAAGTATAATTGTATTCCGTGTATAATGAATAATATGGGTGTTAAAATATATTAATAATAGTACCTACTTCCGAAAACTATCCTGATCATCCATACAACATGCAGTGATATTGAAAGTTAATGTCCGTTTAAAGAGAAATTCAGTATATACCAGTAATACATATACTTATATATAATAATAGACGATATATGCTCACTGGTTTAGAGGGAGAAAACTTTACTGTAACTACAGGCGCAGCTCACCTAACCCTAAACAACTACTCTGTAACAATAATGATTCGTTATACATACTCTGCGTGTTGTCGCAATTTCCGCGTAAAGATGTTTGCTCGGGACGCTCCAACCACAAATGGAACATGGGTAGACTTTCGTTTCCCATATAGGCACATCCGTAGATCAGTGACCTAGTTTGTATTGTCTCAACTTCAAATTTTGCTTTTTTCCCAAATGGAGGACATACACGGCCATTGAGTCTATCCAGAACTGAAACACACCGAAATACAAATACAGTATTACATTATAAGCATTTTATTATACTCTTAGTAGCATTAAAAAATATATAATAAAGTATAAACAATTTATAGATATATTTATTACTTATATATATTTTTTTTTATTAAAATTATATTGTATTCGCCATTGTATAATACGAAATTCCTTCTGTCAATGATTGGGGTTGTTGCCTATTTGTTACGAAATAATAATAAATTAGTACCTACTATATTAATTTTAGAATATTATATAAGTACCATTATTTAATTTTAATATTTTTGTAAGTCTGTGGTTATTTTATATTATATTCTTATATTTTGAATAATATTTATAACTTTACTTGTATTACTGCAATTGAAAATTTTGATTAAATACTGTAATATTATAATTGAAATAATTTTTTTATATTCCCGGGCTTTTAAATTTGTGAGAATTGTATGTTGTAAGAAACTGGCATAAACCGTTAAAATACTAAAAACAAAATCAAAAACGAAACATTAAAAAATTTTAAACCGATATTAAATTCAAAAAAGAACAGAAAACAAATTGAAACCGGTATAAAAAGTCAGAACCAAAACTGACATTTTTTAAATCGATTTCAAGCGAAAAATAACTAAATAATAATGAACAAAATAATAATAATTACTAGTAGCAGCATATGATTATCATTTTTGAATTCTCAACATCGAACTAAGATCTTTTGAATTCAAATTTACATTTATGCAATTATAAATTATATAGATAAATAATACATAAAACAATTATAGACAAACATTTTAATTATAATACCTGTTCGTTTAATATCTTCTATTGCACCAGTGTCCGCTGCCAAGGAGGACATGCAGATGGTAAGCAAGACCAATATATTTATTTTATTATTATATTGCATCTTTTTGTCGGTAATGTAAAATTCGGAAGACGGACGGAATAGAATAAAAAACAGTCGTAACAGACAGGTTAGAAACACTGTTAAGACACGAATGACGATCCAGAGCTCTGCGTTCCGTCTTATATCAGCCACGGCGGTGGTGGCAGTAGCCGTGTTGTCGGTTTCTACCACCAGTTGAGAGTCGAATACATTGCTGTATTCACGATGTAGGTAAAACGGTGTAGTCACTCGGGCCGAGAAGTGAGTCCAAATCAGACGACACTTTGGTTAGCGCGCCTTCCGCCAGGTAGCGCTAAAAAGGCCGATCAACAACCGGCTGCTAATTGCTATAGAGAAGGCCGTATTTGTAATGCACTAATGCCGTTTTGCGTATTATCTGTGGTAAAGTTTTAAAATTTCATACTTCAGTATTCAATATTCATTCAAATTTATAATAAATATAATCAAAGATTCATCTTATAGTATTATAATTTATTATACTATTTAATAGTTGCAAATAGTTTTCACTTTTTATTTCATTAACTTAAATTTGTTTATCAATAATGACTACACTTGGTAAACATGAATCAGTAAAAACTACAGTTTTATCAGTTTTTAGTTGATCACTTATGTGAACAAATGCTATTTTTTTTAATGGAATCAAATGCAGTCCCCACATAGGTATTCCCTGGAAGTATTATATTTTTTACAATTTTGTGAAGATAGCTATTGAAAAAGATTCCTACAATTCAAAAATTCTGAAATTATAAGAAACCCCAAAATATAATTAAATTACATTTTATATTATTAATATAATTAATAAATTTATGTAGTAGTATCATTAAGTACAAGTAGTGTCTTACTCATTGGGTGAATTTTGTTATTGTACTATTTTAATTTCATCTAGGTCACTTTTTGATGCATTACAAACCATTTTTTTTATTTCTTGCCTATTTTTTGGTGCCAGGTCTTTTTGTCCCTACATTTGAAAATTGTTCTAGTAAGCCTAAAAATATTGTCGGAATAGCATTTTCTCTCAATGCCGGACGTATTCGTTCAATGTCTTCTACAGACCCATCAGGCATTTTACACTCATATTTTAAAAAATCATCTTCTTTAAAATGTAAACCGCAAACTACATCTTTTATGGATAAGTTCCTATCTTTCCGCGGTATTTTATTATTCCATACAGATAGTAAGTCCTGCAAGATAAGTAATTTTAAAACGTTCATGTTTATACCAGAATGGCAGAATACCTGTATTAGTTGTTATGTAGCTTTTTATATTATATTTATTTTGTTTTTGTTATTATTATTATTTTTTTTTTTTTTTGTCTTTCTAGTTGTATTTTTATTTATCCCTTTGTTATTAGTTTAATATGTGTCAATTATTATGTAATGTTTTTTTTTCTTGTTAAAGGGCGTATGCCCGTTGATTATTAATAAATAAATAATTTAGACTACATATTCAAACATTGTATTTGTTATTCTTATTTGAAATATAAAGTCTCTAAGAGAAAACTTATAATGTAAGAACCCTAGAGAACATTTTGATTTAAATGACATAATGCAAACATTAAATTTGTATTAAAAATCAGACTGTTCTTTATTATTGGTTTTTTGTATAATTAATTGTATATTTAATTATTTTAGTATTAAGTTATACCTATACCTACTTATATGTATTGTATAGTTTTCTTTTGTCTTAAAAAAAAAATGTTATATAAAGATCAGTAGAATAATAAAAAAATTTGTGGACGCAGGCTTTCTCTCGGTGGTCAACGTGTTAAGTTTCGTTAGAGGTATGTTACAGTACATAATTAAGTATACAAAATATTATTATAATTTAAAACAAAACAATAACCATCTATATTACTTGTGGTGGATGGAACATGGGTGGTACATTTTTCCCTGCTGATTTTAATATTTTAGTATTACTTAAGTAACCAGACTTGCATGCGGGAACAAAACATTTGTTGGGCATATTTATTAGCACAATATGAAAAATGTTTAAAAATAATACTAAGTTTTACTAGTTTTAGGTAGGTGTGGATGGTTATATTTCTACTATAGGTAGTGTGGTACTGTGGTACTGTGGTACTATAGAATAATAAAATATAAATAAACAATGTTCATCAATATGTTAATAATATGTTTATTATTCAAAACAAATATACTGAAATAGACCATATTGCTTATAAAATATTTCCGAAACCGGCCTTCTTAGCGCTTCCCGGTGGACAATTGTGTAACTAAACTGCCGTAAAAACTGTACTCACTTATTTCTCATACGTACAATTGATAGTGACTACACCGTTTTACCTACATCGTGGTTGTATTATACGTCATGTACCGTGTGTTCACAACAGTGCCAGCTCAAGGGTGGGAGGGCCTGCGGTGCGGTCGCAGGAAATTATGTATTCTGAATATCACTTTATCTACAAATAATTATAATAATATTGTCCCAATAGTATGCTAATTGTAACCTGTGTGGATGTGTAATTTCCTTAGGAAACGGGTTGTTATCGACGAAAATCAAAACAGTAGCCATATGCCCATATTATACATACCTAGCTATTATTAAAACAAAAATTTCTACCGGAAGAACTGCTTTGATGTACACATATGGTATCTTATCTTTTACCTAATAGGATCATGATGGTACTTTGGACAGGTAATTTTTCGATTTTCACAATAATTTTTAAAGAACACCAAAATACCACCAAAATACCCTATTGTTAAGCTATTTTTTTCAAACGCTTTGTTTATCACCCTTGGTTAATAATGAAAAATGCGTATGTCTTACATTTCGTCATGATAATAATATATGTAGATCAACTCAAAATTATAATACAATTTTATTCAAAATAATAAAAAAATTAATATTAAGTTTAAAATAAGTGATTTTAACGCCCGCTGTATGGCCAGTGATCTGACTTATCTAAATAAATTCATCTAGATACATTTTTTATTGATAAAAATCGCAAAATTGTACGAACGTATTTTTAAATTTTTATACAGATTCTCAAACAAAGTTTTTATAAATAATGTTTTGATTTAATTGTTCTGTTAATTTTTAGCAATTAATATGGTATATTAGTGTACCCTTCAGTAAGAACTGCTGTATAAAATTTTTCTTCCTGTCATGTAAAAAAAAACGGATCCCTTGTGTCCAGATGATTTCTCTACTGATTCGCAGAAGTCCGTATGGGGTCAGCCGACGACAAAAAAAGGTACCTAGGTACGACAATATGTATTATAGTTACCTATCTTTGTGATTTATTATTATACTGCTTTCTATATTATCTGCAGTGTTACCGTCGTTGGTGGTATATTTGAATAGGCTTTCGTAGACATTCGTTCCGGTACCTACCCTACGGTAATGCCCAACACAATTAATATAATAAATATACACTATTCACTGTGAAGGTAGTGAAATCTCCATGTGCGGCCATATTTCATCCCAAATATATTACCAAGGTAATATAAAAATATTTTTAAGGCCTCTGTGTTGTCCAATATCTATAGGTACCTACATGTTGTGGACCGTTATACATTATATTATTAGCTTCGCTTTTTTTTTAGATGGGTAGCTATTTATATTTGAATATATAGTATGGACGTATAGTGCATACATAATTGTATATCAGCTATATTAGTACAGCCAGTGATGATCACGTTGTGGTCAACATACGGAATACCATTTGTATCTCAAAATAATAAAAATACAGGTAATACATTTATTGAGTAATGTACTAAACATATTACATGAATACTATATTATATCGCATTTATTTATTATATGAAAACTGAAAAGTTGTATAAAATAATATCACCAATCGAATATTATAGCCTATATGTAATAGGTACGTTGAGGTACCTAAAAATAATAATTTAAAAAAAGGGGAACGTAGGCAACTGCTCCGCTGATCTATTGGAATTTAATGATAATTAACAACAAATTTAATTCTTATATAAGTTATAAGTAAATTTAACGTATAAATTGTTCAGATGCATACACAAATTAAAGTTAAAATTAAAATATCATTTAAATATCATCTAAAATCTAAATAAACGTCATATAATACGATCTTATGAATTTATAGTTTTCGATAATTTTAAATAAATATAGATATTGTTTAAAACAAGGACTGTCATATTTTGATGTCGGCAAGGTATACTTTTCCTCCATATTTGGACATAAACATATTTGGCCCTTATACAATTATAGTATAATGAGTAAGTATCTTAAAAATTGTATTATTAATAAAAACGATTCTCGTATATTGTGTGCGACCGCTTTCCCTATAAATTTTTTTTTTTTTTTTATTAACATAAAGGCTTCAATTACAAAGATTATTAGCCTGAAATTAAAAAATTTGGGTTTTTACAATATAAAATTATTCATAATCTTATTATTATAGGAAGTACATTATAATATTTACAGTTTTTTATCTAATTCTATTTTTTTTTGAAAAATTTAAAAATTTTTCCGGAGTTATGTTGACTGAGGGCTTCTTATTATTTCTTATTAATTTATTTCCAAGTTAAAATCACATGAAATTGTAAAACATAAATCATAAATGATAAATCAATCCACCATCCTGGTTAACTATGTGTTTTCTATCAAAGTACAAAACAAACTAATCTTACCAACTGTTACTACTCCGTTTACATCCTAGTGCAAAGTGTTTTCTAAAAATATATTTCAATTTGTCACGAAGTTTATGTTATTTAGGTCCTACTGACCTACTCGAAAACGAATTTTACACTTTTTTTGATATTAAACTTTCATTATTTCGATTCATGAGTACATAATAATACTGTACTAAGTATTATTTTATTTTGTATTATAATAATTGTATCAGACATTTTTTGATTTTTTTTCTAGTACTTAACTATACAACACTTAAGATGTCTACTATTATTATTTGTATTGAATATTAATTTGAATTTTCACTTGATTGATTTTAT